TAATTCATGAACTACTTTGACTTTACTTCTCAGATCTGGCAATGTGGAGGTCGAGTAGAAATCCTGCCATGCTCCCATGTTGGGCATATCTTCCGTCATGCTTCACCCCATGACATTCCGGGAAATTCCTCTGGAAAAGTGAGTCATTCATCAATGTGTCCCTTCCGTTAGCGCCTGACACTGATCGCTCTTCAGGTCCTTGACGGAAATATGGTTCGCGTAGCGGAAGTATGGATGGACGAATGGAAATTCCTTTTCTACAAACTAGCCCCACGTGAGAAATCGCCACATTTTTCTGAAGCTTTTGAAAAATCCAGTTCATTCGAGCGAGGTTGTTCAGAGACAGGAAAACTTCGAAGTGTCGTGGATCTGAGTGAGCGCCTTGAACTTCGACGTCGTCTCGGTTGTAAGAGCTTCCGATGGTATCTCGAGAACGTGTTCACCGATCATCACATGCCAATGGAAGGGTGATTTCTTCGGACGGGTACGTTATTTATAACCACGTCTATTATACCTGCTTTCCTGGTATAGTTGTGGTGGGTGTGGGAAGGCCTGACTGCCTCCCTAGTCAACCAAGATGTACAGATCAATTTTTGAACATATCTTGAAAAGTGAAGCTCGTCACATTTCAGCAGAGAAAGCCGGTGGAAAGAGCTCCCTCTTTTGAAGGTACTTTAAGGTAACATGGACGAAATCACGGCTCATTGTCCCTAATTTATAGGTACCTTCCCTATTCTTTGCCATCTTGAAACAAACTGTCCACCAATGGGAAGAGATAAGCAGGTAGTCGAAGTGACTCCGCCCATACGTCTAGCGAGAAAGTGCCTTCATACCTTCTCTCACTGGTGCAATTCAATCCTTTCACTTAGAAGTCGAAAGGAAGTAATTAGGAAGGAAATCATTGAAAATCCGCGTTCCTGACACCAATTGATAGGGCAGACACCAGTGCAAGGTATAGTTTAGCTTTCCAGAAGAGGCTCATAGATAGGCTTATTGCTTTTTAAAGCTATTGTCATTACTTTAATGGAAACTGTGTCAATATTATGGTACATACATATATTCAATCAAAGATTAAAAGATGGATAAATGGGGTTGTCTCGTTATCGGGAATACGACCGATGTATTCCACTCTACTTAAAGGACGAATTCACGCTGGAAAGGCAACCCATTTCAAATTAACTTAGGGATGGTGATTGGTACACGAAAGAAGGAAGAACCATGAGAAACGGCCCAGAACCCGAGAAATGGGACCCCTTCCTTCCCCGCTGATTTGCGCATTGATGCGACTCTTATCGCTGTGCCCTCCTTCAACATCACGCTCTCTCTGCTATCTAATCAATCGCCACGTATAGATCTGCGGCGAGTGATCAGCTGGTCGGTGGGCGGAGATCGCCGGACCGCCAACTTTGAGGCATAATAGGTCGCCGAGGTCAAATTTTTCCATGCGAATTGCGCATCAGTTCGCACCCTCAGGAGGTCCGTGGGTCCCTCAACTAGGTCAATTACTTCTTCCTTCGACCTTCATTCTAATCGTGAATTCCTCCTTTAAATAAAATCCGGATTGAATGCGAAAGCTTCGCCCATATGCAGTTGTAGAGCAAGAGGGAATAGTGGGAACGGAAAGGCCGAAAGCCGAATGTGCACTCAGACGGTCAGTTGCCAACTACATCTTACTTAAAGGAGGAATTCACGATTAGAATGAAGGTCGAAGAAAGGGAAACTGACCTAGTTGAGGGACCCACGGACCTCCTGAGGGTGCGAACTGACGCGCAATTCGCATGGAAAAATTTGACCTCGGCGACCTATCATGCCTCAAAGTTGGCGGGTCCGGCGATCTCCGCCCACCCGACCAGCTGATCACTCGCCGCAGTCTATACGTGGCGATTGATTAGATAGCAGAGAGAGCGTAGTGTTGAGGAGGGCACAGCGATGAGAGTCGCATCAATGCTCAAATCAACGGGCAAGGAAGGGGTCCCATTTCTCGGGTTCTGGGCCGTTTCTCATGGTTCTTCCTTCTTTCGTGTACCACTCACCATCCCTAGTTAATTTGAAATGGGTTGCCTTTCCAGCGTGAATTCGTCCTTTAAGGCATGGAGACCTGCGGCGAGTGGTTGGCCGGTGGTGGGCGTGCCGCGAAAATTTGGGCGCAGGGACGATCATGGTACATAGCCGGGCTATATCCTTGAATGGGAATTACGTGTCGGTCCATAGGGGCCGCTTGTCTTTATGTTAGGTGACCCCTTCGTTCGACCTTGTTTTGGGATCTTGGTGGAGTAACCGGTCTCTGTTCCGCGTTCAGTGAATACGGCTCAATGAGAAGGTGCTAGTATCATCTCAAAATTTTAATTTTGAAAGATTAGTTAAATTTGTGATAGAAATGATGTGAGAAAAAAATCAGAGTTCGAAAGAAGCTTGAGAATAACCACAATTTCTTTTTGAGACAAGTAAGCAAATAAATACAGATTACGCTGAACTGCTTCAGATACATTTCCCAGCCGACATATCCAACGCAACTTGTGTCGCCTGGACATTTGCCATGTCCGGCATCAAAAAAGTCACTCAAACTCGTTGCACGGACAAGACCGACAAAACGCAGGTGATGGTTTGAAGACTCGCAATAACGATCGCGTTGTTTTCAGATTTCATTAGACTTCAATACGTTGTGTATGGTTAATCGGCCAGGAGAGCCAGGAACTAAGAAACATCAGCTAAAAATGGCACCCTGTACGTTGGGATTCGATCACTGGCAGGTTTGTTCATGAGAATTTTTTCTAGACAAAAAAGCGAATTGGCAACGTACAGGGAGCGGTGCATTGGGTCGGAACAGTTGTAATCTCAAATTTGGGGGGGGAGGGAGAAAAGTTCACCGGCGGCGCAGACGCGAGCGCGTGCTGCGGCCAGATTTGAAGGATGAGCGAGCAGTGGCCAGCGCCGCTGCCACTCTGCTTGAATAAAGCTGGGTTTCTGGCACTATACCGATTTGTTCAATCAATTGTGCCGCGAACGAAATGACTGTGTTATGTTCAGGTACCATCCTTGCCTAGGAAAAAATTGAAAATTTTGAAATACAAAGAAAAAGGGCGGAAGTGGTGTAGTGACAAGTGGCGCGCTTACCACGCGAGCGGTCCGGGGATCAAATCCTGGGTCGTGAGTCGCCCGGGCCAACCAAGCCTTCCATCCCTCCGGGGTCGGTTAATTGGTACCAGACTTGTCTGGGAGGATAAAAACACTGACTTGAACATCGGCTGGCCCCCGCAAGTCATTGTATAGGCCACATCGCATTCAAACGCCACTGCGAATGTACAAATGGAAGTAGAATGCGTGCCGCATCCCAAAAAGGGATTGATCAACGGCAAATGCTTTATCCTTTTATTTTATTAAAGAACGCGAGACTTTTCATGCGAAAGAACCCTTCGAGTACACTGTCAATAACTCGAAAAGCTGCAATGTTTCGGTTCGTGTTAACGCTAAGGGGGGACTAGAAGGGGAGGAAGACGAGAGAGGATAGGAAAAGGGGGGGAAGATTGACACAGGGAAGGAGAAATAAAAAAATGAAACATGCGGGGGAAAGAGGTGGTGGGAAAGAGAAAAAACAGAGAGAATAAGAGGGGAAAGGAGAGAAGAGAGGTAGAAAAAAGGAGGGAGGCACAGGAAGGAATGAAGGGCAAAGACTAAGAGGAAAGTTATACGCTTCTACTTATCACACAGTGAAGTAAGGGTGCTCGGAGTACTCAATATATTGAAGTAATGGTGGCAAAGCTGGCCCTTGCTCGCTCCTCGCCGCCGTTGTGACGTCACCAACACGCGAACGCGTCCGCGCCGCCGGTGAGCTTTTCCATGGAGCCCTCAAATTTTATGTGACCTTTTTTCCAATTTTTTGCTTTGCAACCCTCACCGTTAGATCTTACTTCCAAATATATATTCCTAGTACTTCCTGCTAAATCTTCGTTGCCTGCTCAAAACAACAACTCCAATCAAATTGGTGGAATAGTGAAGAGTTGACTGAAAGTGAAAAAAATAAAGGAAGCCGCTTATGGAGCCCTTTACAAGGGCCCCATCTTGAGATGAAGATGGGGCGTGTCCGGACGAATTTATATAAACCCAGCCACATCAGTGTGATGAATGGGTCATATCTATTGAATTTATTGGCTATCTGATCCGCTACGTCGTAATCCACGTTGCATGCGATCTCCACGGCTGCAATGGGGCGTGTCGGCCAAAAAGCGGACGGACCAAAGTTGGCGCCTATCCAATGCCTTATTGCGTCTCTCCAAGCGCATTTTGCTCCAGCAATAGTTCGCATCTTCTCGAATAAAGCTCATACGAGATTCACTTTCACATTCACTTTCACTAGATTAGTAGCAATTCTATCCAGGGTACTTGCCTTGACTGTACACTTCACAAATCCTTGAGTGCTACGATGGCCTCTGGCTCTGAGGTAGACCGGACCGCAAGTAAACAAATTGCGCCATTTTTACGTCCAAAGTGCGCGGCAGAAACTTAGGCTACCCATGAGTCCCACCCACTACGCAATGCACGCCTGAAATCCATTTTACGCCGGTGTCTGCGATTCTCTGATCCACCCTCTCTTGCCCGCTCGCCGTCGGGGTCTCTCGCTCGGACACGCACTCTCCTCTGCCTCAAGCGTGCGATGTCTCACACCACTTATAACGAGAGATCTATTTTAGGACGTCTTCGACGGTCTTGTTATTGTGAACTCTACCTTCAAGGCGTAACTAATCAGCCAATCAATCAAATTATTTAATTAATGGGAATTGACTGATTAAATGATGAAAACTTCTCTTAGTAAATATCTTAATTTTGTGACATTTTTCCCGAACATTCAAACTCGCATTGGGTGAGTGTGGTACTCAAGCGCAGAAAACTACGACATGAGAGAAAGATGCCTTTCACAGGATCCTTTTTCAGTTTTGGATCTACACAAAGGATGGACATCTGAAATCCGACGAGCATATGTGCCTTTCGGCTACTCAGGTTGGTGCATACAAATGGAGAATGGGCTGTCCAGCTAAAGGAGTGCGCCGGCTATGACATGGAACTTTGGGAATACAATAGACAGGTTAGCATACTAGAACGAAGGAGGTTGAAAACTAAAGGGATGAGAAAAGCAGGTGAAGAGGATATCCAAGAAGCCTTACAAGT